ATTCAAAACAACTTGATATTTCATACTATAGATGATGATTGGTAGACAATAAATCTCAAAGATAATTATTAAAAATCCCAATACTATTTGAAAACTTTTATTAATAATACGAAAAAAAACATATATACCATTTTTCATAATATTTCGAATGAACAGATTATTATTAGATAATAATCTTGATTTCCAATCAGATCCGTGACTGTTTAATACTAAAAATGTAATCCATTCAATAGATGAAATAAAAATTCCGATCTAATTATGAAAAGATTTTATTCATGAATATCAGTCGAATATTTCTTATTATTGATGAAACTCTTGGCCATATGATTCTTTGTCCAATATTATCAATAATAAAATGCAACTAAGAACTGAATTTTGATACTTAATTAAATGAATAATTAAGTAACAAGTTTAAGCAATAAAAATAAACTATCTACTAACCATCAAGTAGAGTTTGAGTTATAATATAATGCTAAGAAAACAATCGATTTCTCTAAATAATACCAAGCAAGAACAAGAAGACATGTTCGAAAATAATCTAAGAAAGTAGCAAACAATTTCTTTAATTAAATAAAAATTTCGTTCTACTAATTATATTTAGAATATACAAAAAACATATGTTTTTGTCTTCATATCGGAGAAAAATCTGATTGGATTTTGTTTTTGTTTAAATGTTCTTTGTAACTTGAAATATTGTCAGATCATTCTTTCACTTTGCTATGTCCATCAAGACGAATTTTATCAGAAATTTAACAATAAGAAGCACTTTTTAGATCTATAAATTGTCGTATCAAAAGATAATCATGATCGACAAATCTATATATATATATATATAATGTTCAGTGTCTGTCTGACGTCTCTGTGCCCAGGTCAAATAAGGCTATACGGAGAAGGCTATAAGTGCTGCTATATTGGGATACCCATAGGCCTTCAAGGGCTATTATATAGAGGTACCCTTAGGTCCTAAAGAGCTATTATATGGAGGCGCTCATAGGTCCTCAAGGGCTATTATATGAGGATACCCACAGATCTTCAAGGGCTATAAGGCTAAGGCTACAGGGACATAAGGGATAAAACTAAAAGAGTATAGGGAGATAAGGGTATAGCGGATAAGTAGATGAGACTGCATTGAATATAAGGGATAAACGAATAACGGAATGCGGTTATAAGAGGTAATACCACAAGAGTATAAGATCTCTCGATATATATAATGCGAACTGTCTGATTCTCTATTGTCGAATCAAGGCTAAAGGACAGATGTGAAACTTTACAGAAAAAAAAAGTGTCCGTGCAGTATGCACGGGCTCTTGCTAGTAATTCTCTATTGGACATCTCTATTGTCTATCTATTAAATCAAATCGAACAATTATTATTCTTTCATCTTTTTTTTTCCAGTTCTATCTAGAAAACGTTTTATTATATAATTAAATGATGCTGACATGTTTAAATCTAACTGTTCTGATAAATAGTGACAATAACAGAACGAGATATAAAATATGTATTATGTCATATTTGTTTTTTAATAAGTAATAATTGGTTATCAACTAATTGACGTAATGACGAGACCAATACCAAAATCCAGATTTCTATAAATTCAGTGCATATACTAAAACAACAAAAAAGAAAATAAGAATATAATTTAAAATTGTATCCGAATATCGAAAAGTGATTTCTTTAATCATCAAACAAGGTAGTGGGATTTTGCAGGACTCAGAACAAGTCAAAAACAAAATCTAATATTACTTTTTCCGTTCATTCATTTTTGCTAATATTTTTCTCGACGTTGAGCTTGTAGTATTCGACTATTATTACAACAAGATGTAATTAAACTTTTTTGTTTTAACAACTTTTTCTTGTGTCCATGGATATTTTCTTCAATTGATTTCTTTCTAATTCTTGTCTTATCTGAACATATGCATCATAATAACATCATTTAAATAAATTAAATAAATAAATATTTTACCATGTTATCAGAAATGAAAACTAACAAAAATAGTTTGTGCAAGAGTTTTATTGTTCATGAATTCTTGATATTCTAAAAGATATGAAAAAATCTTTTTCAATCTCTATGAAACTTCAATCAATTATAGATTAGTGTATGAGAAACGCATTGCAAATGCATTTCTAGATCAAAATCTAAATAAATGACACTAATTGATTTATATACTCTGTTCAGGATGGATATGGATAGGAATGAAAAGAACATTCATACCTTCAAGTTTGTTGTTCATCGAAAGCAAATCAATCGAATTTGAGATTGAATTGTTCTCGTGAACCGATGACATCAGATTACAATCGAAGTTCTCGATTTCTTTAAATAATTATTTCCAATTTTAGAGTTCAGCGATTTATTTATATATAATCCGTACTTTTTCTCTCGTACATGTAGTATTTTCTGTTCTGTTCTCTCTCAAAATTTTAACGGCCCATCTCTAAAATGAAATTTTTTTTTTCGAGCATCCAATCATCGTGAAATTTTCAGTAGAGGTATATCTCGAGCTAGACCGCTTACAATAAAAATTTCAGCTCGATACATTGAGTGTACGAAGAGTTATCATAAGGTTATGGGTCAAAATCTGGGATGCATGGAAACGTAAAAATCAAAAATTCTATTTTGAGAAAAAAAATCAAAACTTTTTAGAAAAAACACGTCCTTACCATCCACATTCATCCAGAAGTTAAAAAAAGAATTAGAAAATAGGCTATATTATAACTATATCCATTGACATACAAATAATTTTATTAAATATAGAACACGCATGTTTTATTTGATGGGATGATGGGTTGTTTTTAAATATTTATTAAAGAGTTGCTTTCCATCGAAAAAAAAAACGGCATAAAGTTGCAAGCAAGGTTTATTTTTATTTTTATTTTTGATTTAAAATAAATGAATCACTTCTTTTAATACCTGTAAAGTCAATATGAAGAAATATTTCAATCTCAACAATATAATGTACTTCAGCGAATGACGTCCTAATAGATTAGAATAGATATATGATGTTAATCTCACATCACAACAGATAAAAATTATCTTATCTTTAAGGTTTAATGCATGATAAATTTTATTTTTGTGGTTGAATTTCATAGATGGTCTATGAGGGAAAGGTAATACGATAGTCTTCAGGTCTCAGAAGACTGTATGAAATTAGTTTTTTAAGAGTACTATCTTAAAAAGCACAAAATATTGAATAAAATGAAGGGACATAGGATTTTCTACAGTATTCTCTTAAAAAGTTATAAGCATTACAAAAAAAAGCAAAATTTTTCATAGCATTGCTCAAAATTGACCAAAAAAAAATGCATTTTTTTAAAAATCTTTTATGATGCTTATAACATTTTGACAAAAGGTCATAAGAAATGCAGTGATCTCTTATTTTATTCAAGATTTAGCACTCTTTAAGACGATATTCTTAAAAACTAATTTTTACACAACCTTCTGAGATCTGAAAACCACTAGGTTTGGTCTGTTGAAGACCTTCTTTTCATAGTCCATTCAAGAAATTTCATTATGAAATGTATTTTATAGAGAACTTCATTAGTTAATCAAGTCATTATTTGAATTAAAGCTAAATACTTGGTATTATAACAAAAAATTGAAAATACATTGCTCTTATATTTTTTTTTGACTAGTACTGTATATTAATAAAGGAAGCAATTGTAATATGGTATTATTTTATTTATAGTACAACTGATTAATAGATCATAATTGGACTTGACACGATTTATTCTTTTAACAAATTGTTTTCAGCATATTATTATGTTCATAGAGATTCCTTAGGTACCATTGCCAGTTTTATTAGTCTTTATCTTATCCTAACCCACAACTTATAGTCACATACACTCCACACTCTTTTATAAAAATGCATTTCTATAAACAGATGACGATCCTGTGAGAGCTTTTCAAAGAAATGAACTTATCATCCTTTTTCTCCAGATAAAAATTAAGAATTTAAAAAAATAATGCATATGTCAAACACTGTAGTCTGACATAATCTGTTGAATTAAACGTCATAATATAAAGTTGAAAATTGTAGTATACAGTCTGTCGACAAGTAACATACTCATCCATTTTTGATCTTCTGATTGTTATAATTCGATAACTTAAAGTAACAAAGAGCTGAAGCTTATATTGCAGCAAGATATATGAAAGTTCTAGTTTCACTAAAATTTTCATTTCATTTGGTTGAATTGCGACGATTCTAGAAGGATAGAAAGTCATCGTAATACACTCATTTAAAAGGATCCCTTCCAGTAGAACCATGCAAAAAAGTTCACATTCCTAAAAATTTTCTCGTTCTGAACAAAATATTTGTTTCTGTATTTGAAGCTAAGACAACACACCTGACGGTGATGAAATGTGTTTTTTGGAAGTTTAGTCCTACAAAGAATTATCACCAAAACATTACGATAACACACTCATCAATCGGTTTTTTTTTCTTAAGCTCATTAAAAAAGCACATTTTTTTAAAAATAACTTTGAAAACAATAGAAGATGATTCATTGGTGTCAAACTCTAGTTCAATCTTCGGTAATACGACTATTATTTCTATTCTTTTAAAATGATACAATAATATTCGAAATATGATAATAGACAACAATGTCACTTTTTTTAATCATTTTTGCACAAAAACCGTTTGATTTTGGCTGGCGATCACCATTTCTTCTCGTTATTATTCAAAAAACAAATGACATCTATTGATAGAGAATATGCAAAAATCTATAAAAAAAAATTTTTGAATGATTAAGTTCGATCGTCTTATGTTCTAGAAATTTGTCTGCACAACTTTGATCAAACATGATCGTTTTTAACTGAACACGTTGTATAGGAAGGGGCGTTTATGGTATATTGATTGAAATACAATTCTAGTTCATTTATAAAACTAATAAAAAAAAGAATTGATTCTCGAAATTAAAAATCATAAATGGAAGAAAAAAATAAAGATTTACAAATATTTATAGTTGATTAGTCACATTCGTATAAAATATATTTGATTAAAATTCTAGACATAGTTTTTGCTGTTACGTTGTTCTGAATAAGCTTTAAATAGATGAGAAGTACTTGTTCTACTTGTCAATGTTCGTTCAGATAAAAGTAGTCCATTTGAAGTATTATCAATTGGTGCTATTTTACTAGAAACAGGAGACAGAAGTGTTGTTACTGTACTTGCTCGAGGATTTAATTTAAATGACGTAATTGAATTTAAACTTAAAGGTCTATTCGATGAAGGTTGTGATCGATCAGGTGCTGCATCTGAATTTATATATTCTTGACGATAATCTTGTGTGTCTCTATTCATAGTATTTTGAACACGACATACATGACAAATAGGTTCTTCTTCATCCCAGAATTTTCGTCGAATTTTACCCCTAAAAATTAATTTATATTTGTTTGTAAAAAAAAAAAGAATTAATACATATATAACATACCGAAATGATTGAGAATACCATCGAGGACAACAACAACACGAACTTAATAAACTTAGAAGAAGACAAAATGGAAGACCAAGACCAAGAATAAGTCCAAGAAATAAATTCAAACTCAACGATTCTTTAACAATTGTTGTAGTAGGAGCTAAAAAAATATATATATATATAATTTGAGAATACTTCATTAGATATAAAATAAATCAAAATTCTAAACAAACTTGTAGTTGTTGTTGAAGTTGAAGTTGAACTTGTACTTGTAGAAGTACTGCTCGATGTTGTTGTTGAAGTTGAACTTGTAGAAGTAGTAGTTGATGTTGTTGTTGAACTTGAACTTGAACTTGATGATGTACTCGTTGATGTCGTTGTTGTTGGTGCAATAACAACAAAAATTAAACAATATTCTATTGATTGTAAACTACTACTATCGACTGCCGTTGTACAATATAATTCTGTTGTTCCAATTTGATCAAAAGAAGGTGTCCATGTAAATGTAGTTGAATAAAGTATTGAACTCTCTTTGACGACTGTTGTAGTACTTGCCTTACCTGATGGTAGACTAATTGTTGTAAATCCTTTAATTGTTGTACCACTACAGCCAATTTGTGCAATAACATCTGTAGAAAATCGAACATTAGCTGGTACATAAATAGTAGCAGTATTATTTAGTTCTCCAATAATAGTTGGTAAATTACATGAAGTTGATATACTACGTATAAGAAATTGTAATGGTATAGAACTTAATACTGTACCATTTGGATTGGAGGGCATAAAATCTTCTATTTGTATAGCTATAACATAATAACCAACGCTGGTTGGAGTGAATGTAAGTGTACATTTATTTTCAAGATTTGATGATGAATAGAGTTGAAATCCTGTCAAAGCTTGACAGACACCACCACATTCAGTAATAGTTGTAGATGCAACAACGACTGTACTACTTGCCCATCGACATTTAACAATATCATTATCATTATCTATCATTGGAATACGAAGCACTTGTTGTTTATTAACAGGTACAGTAATCAATGGTGGTATGCTTGTCTCTGGTGATGAATTAATTCGTCCATTATCAGTACGTACTGCTAAATTAATATATGTTGCTACACTCCATTGACCTGCTCCAGAGACAAGTGTTAACCATGCACTACCTTGATAGGCTAATACTTGTTTAGCACCTAATGGAAGTGTAATTGACTGTGTACTTTGAGTGACGATTACACCTAAGCTAGCATCATTACTAATGCAGGCTCCTTTCACATAAATACTTGTTGAAATAGAGGCACAACCTGCTAGACAACTGAGTGTATCGTTTATAGGACCAGATACTGATAGGCAAGAATAACGAGAACTTAACCATGAATATGTTTGTTTTAATGTAATTGTTACTGTACTACTATTTGTTGAGTCTGGCGAGACAGCTTCCCATGTAATTGATCCACCGTAAAAATGAGCACCACGTACAAATAATAGGGCCTTGCAAAAATATAGGCAAATGTATAAGAGAAACTTTTTCATTATGTATTGTTTGTATGATGAAATAAATCAGTAGAATTTCTTTTTGTTTTATGCTTGAATTTTTATATGATTTCATGTAGATGAAATGATCGACATCATACAAGAAAGAGAATTTGCTTTTTTTTTTCTCTGAATAGAAATTATAAACAAAAACAACGAAGAAAAAAAAAATCTATTTACATTTCGATGTATTAAAAATACATCATAAGATATTTGTCTTATGTAGTATGAAATGACTGGTCTTTTTTTTTTTTTGGAATTCTGAAAATTAATAAAATATGAATGTACACAGTAGATGAAAGTCTTCAATGTGTTAATAGTATTAACCCCTTCTCATGGAAAAAAAAAATTGAATATCGTGGATAAATCTTCAATAATATAATACATATAAATTAAACACCCAATTTTAGTAACATGATGGTGTGATAAGGATAACTTTCAGATAAAATTAATTTTTAAGATAGTTAATAGTTAGATAAAAATGTTGTCATCTAAAACATAAATTGTCTAAATCTAATTCGAATATAAATCAATAATTGATAGTTCCATTAGAATTATAGTCAAATAATACTCAACAAGCTTCGAAATCGGGACATTTTTTTATGATGCGGCCCTAAGAAAATTTCGTTTACAAAGATTTTTTTCTCGATGGAAAACAATTGCATATTTTTCGTCTTTTAGAAAAAAAATGATGATCGAGGAGCAGGAATAGCACGGAAACTTTCCCTCTATACTCCTTTAGGGGTGAGTCAAATGTCAAAAAAGGATAAAATACGTGATACTCAACGTATTGTTGCTAATAATTAAAGATGAAGAAAAGAAAAATTCTTTATCATGAAAGAACAAAAAAAGAAATACAAGTTTGATTTCATTCGAATATTGTCTTCGCCTTCACAAAAACTAAATTGGATGTGTCATATTGAAGGTATATGAAAACTATACGAAATAGTAGCATCTTACGTACTTTGATTCCAACATTTATAATAATGTTTTAAGTATCGTTCGGTCTGTGTATCAATATACGATTTTATGAGACTTTATATATGAAGATGACAACGAAAATTTATTAATAGAAATAACAAATTTTGTTTACACGTGCGGCACAACATGTTAAAAATAAAAATAAATCTCTTTAGCAGTGATTTTTCGTAACTCCATCAGTTGCAAAAGAAATTGATTAAAAAAATAAAGTGTAGAAATGTAGAAATTATATTTCTCAAAGAAGAAGATTCCTTTTATCCACTCGATATTCTTATCAAATACAATATTCTATTTAAAAAAGTCCTCAACAAATAATATCTTTTCCTCGAATCCTAATAATAAATTGTATTGTCTAATTTTGAAGTTTTCCTTCATAAATACTAAATGATTACATTTTTTTTTTTCATATTACAGCAAGTTGACTGGATAAGAAAATAAACAAATATTGTATTAAAATGTATATTTCACAGCTTATAGAGTTTATTAAGTAAATGACACCATACTCACGTCATCAAATATGTGAAAGAGAAAAAAAATTAGCATTTCTTTTTCTGTATTGATTTTAATATGTGTATAGTTGTGAATTGATTCTTACTTGACAATTTCAATAATAGTAACGAATAAAGATAACACTATTACTGATAAAAATTAAATTTTTATCAAATTAAGATTGTAATAGATCTTTCGAATGAATTACAACGATTGCAATATGACATCTTTTGCTCATATCTCTACACAAAGAAATCATAAAAGTTTGATATTTTTTTTTGTATCTTAAAACATGTGCTGTTGAGTTTTCTACAGAGCTAATAGTAAGGACACTGTTGAATTTGGAAGACTTGTACGATGGTGTATATGATTTACCGTTAGAATATATTTAGAGATGCCAGTTGCTCTGCTAACCTGCACTGATGAATAATACATTAGGTTACATCTCTAATTTAAACGAAAAAACTTTTGTTATTCTCTATATGTTAGAGTATTTACTTTAAAGCTTACACAAAAGAGAAACGAAGGATAAAATATTTTATAATAATTTCAAGTTCGAATTCATTGTAAGAGTAGTTGCATATATTATAGACTTGTAATCGGTCAAGAAATACTAGACCAGTTCGATTCGGCTAGTGACCAATCAGGTTATATAGAAATCTGTAGAATAAAACTACTTTTCGATGATCAGTAAAAGCAGCTAAATCGTGTTTTATATTTTAATCCTACACGAATTGCACTGATAGCTTTTTATTCGAGATAGTATTGTAGTGTAAAAGCTTATTTAAAGTTTTTTTATTTTTTATCTTACATGGATAACATTAAAACAAAAATTACTTTCAAGTCTTATTTTCGGCCTCACTAAAGGAATATCATCCCACGTTAGGCTCGAAAAAAAAGAACCCTCAGAAACTGCAGTCTGACATATTCTTTTATATAAAGACAGGGACGTAAGTACGGAGGGAGTGATTGAGACATTATGCCCCGTGCTCTGGAGAGACCTAAGTACGCTCCTGTAAAGAAAAATTTAAATATATATATATCATAGGAAGAGCTTATTTTTAGCTAAGCGTGAAGCTACGAAATCATATCTAATAAATCAAACAAATGTAGAAGTTTTTAACGGAAAATTTTTGATGTTTTAACAATCATTTTTTCACCAAATACCAGAACATTTAAACAGATGTTACAACACAAAACAAAAAAGAAAATTATATATTACAATAAAATTTCTCATTTAAAACTTCTACATTTGTTTGATTTATTAGACATTGAATTAAATCTCATGTACTATTGCTTTCATACATACGATATCATTTTATTTTATTAAAAAAACAAATTCTAATTTTTGTTTGCATTATGAACATAGCACATAACTGCCTTTGTTTTTTTTTACTGAATAGAATATTCATTTTCACTCATTGATACTATTTTGTGAGTAACAATAACTTGTGCGTTAACATCAGAAAATGATTTTCGTTTCTATTTTTGATCCGTGCTTGCTAAAACAAACTAAATTTCAATGTAGAGCATTTGTCAACTCTACAACTTCCTAGATATAACTAGACCTTTGACAAATATATAAATGAAGATCCATAGAGAATTTTCAGTTTCCAAAGGAGTTATAATTGATCTTTGGTTTATGTATATCTTCTGAGAATATAATGATATAAGACTGAATTCATTACAGCGTCGACAGATCCTATGGGATTTATATGATTTTCATGCACCTGGACTAAGTTCAATTTTTCCAGGAGAAGAGGAGGAGAGCTTTATGATATGAAAATTGAAATATATTTTTTAGTTCTTCCATAATACGACTAAAAATTTAATTTATTCTCTAAATTAAGAATTTTAATTGAAAACTAAAATAAGAATTTATAAATATTCATGGTTTTGTTAGTTACATTCGTATAAATTTATTAAATAAAATTGTATATATAGTCATTTGTTGTTATAACATTCCGAATAAGCTTTGAACAGATGTGAGCTACTTATTTCACTTGTCAATGGTCGTTCAGATAAGAGTAGACCACTTGAACTATCACAAACCGGTGTTACATTACGAGAAATAGGAGACATCAGTGTCGTTATTGTATTTGTCGGACGATTTGATTCCGATGCTCTAACGGAATTTGATTTCAATAGTCTAGTCAATGATATTTGTGATCGATCAGACATTTCATTTGACTTTATATATTGTACACGATAACCTTGTGTGTTTTTGTTAATCATATACCGACCATGACATACCCGACAAACCATTTCTTTCTCGTGCCAAAATTTTCGAAGAATTTTATTCCTGATAATTATGTAATTTATATTTGTTTTTATGAAAAAAAAAGTTTATTCAGTTAACATACCGAAATGATTGAGCACACCATCGAGGACACAAAAAACAACAACTCAATAAACTTAGAAGAAAACATAATGGAATACCAAGACTCAAAATAAGTCCAATTAATAGATTGACATTCAACGATTCTTTAACAATTGTTGTAGTAGGAGCTACAAAAAATATGTATATATATATATAATTTGAGAACACTTCATTAGATATAAAATAAATCAAAACTTTTGACAAACTTATAACTTCTACTGTTGTGGAAATTGAAGTTGAACTTGTAGAAGTACTAGTCGATGCTGTTGTTGAAGTTGAACTTGTAGAAGTATCAGTTGATGTTGTTGTTGAACTTGAACTTGAACTTGATGATGTACTCGTTGATGTCGTTGTTGTTGGTGCAATAACAATAAAAGTTAAACAATATTGTGAAGATTGTAAATTATTACTATCAACTGCTATTGTACAATACAATTCTGTTGTTCCAATTTGATCAAAAGAAGGTGTCCATGTAAATGTAGTTGAATAAAGTATTGAAGTTTCTTGAACTATTGTTGAAGTCTTTGCCTTACCTGATGGTAAACTAATCGTTTCACATCGAATAATCGTTGAATTATTACACTGTGCTTGTGCAAAAATTTCTATAGAAAATGTGATATTAGCTAGTACATAAATAGTAGTACCATTGTTCAATTCTCCAATAATAGTTGGGATATCACATGAGATTTGTATACTACGTATAAGAAATTGTAATGGTATAGAACTTAATGCTATACCATTTGGATCCGATGGCATAAAATCTTCTATTTGTATAGCTATAACATAATAACCAGTGACATTTGTATTGAATACAAGTGTACAGTTATTATCCATATTTGATGATGAATAGAGTTGAGCTCCTAATAGATCTTGACAGACACCACCACATTCATCAATAGTTGTAGTAGTAACAACGGCTGTGCTATTTGCCCATCGACATTTAATAATATCACTATCAATATCCGTCATTGGTATACGAAGTGTTTGTTGTGTATTAACATATACAGTGGTCAATGGTGCCATGCTTGTCTCTGGTGATGAATTAATCATTCCATTGTCAATACGTATTGCTAAATTAATATATGTTACTAAACTTCCTGGATTTATTCCAGAAACAAGTGGTAACCATGAATCACTTTGATAGGCCAATACTTGCTGAGCACCTAATGGAAGTGTAATTGACTGTAAGCCTTGGGAGACGGTTACATTTAAGGTCAAATCATAATAAATACAGGTTCCTTGCACAGAAATATTTGTTATATTAGTGGTACAACCTGTTAGACATACGAGTGTATCGTTTGCAGGACCAGACGCGGATAGACATGGATAAAGGTAATTTGCCCATGCATATGTTTGTTGTAATTCAATAGTAACTGTACTAGTATTAGTTAAGTCTGTTGAGATAGTTTCCCATGAAATTGATCCACCGTAAAAATGAGCTCCACGTACAAATGATAGAAATTTGAAAAAATATAGATAAATGTAGAAGCGAAACTTTTTCATTATGTGTTGATTGTATGATGAAATAAATCAGTAGAATTTCTTTTTGTTGTATGCTTGAATCTTTATATGATTTCATGTAGATGAGGTGATCGACATCATACAAGAAAGAGAATTTGTTTTTTTTCTCTAAATAGAAATTATAAAGAAAAACAACGAAGAAAAAATCTGTTTGCATTTCAATGTATTAGAAATGCGTCATAAGATATTTGTCTTATGTAGTATGAAATGACTATTCTTTTTCTTTTGAATGATCAAAATTCATAAAATATGAATGTATATAGTAGATGAAAGTCTTCAATGTGTTAATAGTATTAACCCTTTTTCACGAAAAAAAAAAGAAATTCGAAATGGTAGATAGAAAATCGATAGTGTGATAACTTGAACATAATCTAATACAGATAAATTTGACACTCTTCCTGTATAATGATCATATAAGAGGGGAAGTTTTCGAGTAAAATTCAATTGTAGGATAGTTGATAATCAGGCAAGAAAGAAAAACTCTTTTTCATGAAAGGACGAATAAAAAGTTGTTGATTTCTACGAATAATTTAAACAAAAAAAAAATTCAAATTTGAATGTATTCATAAAAATTGAATTCAATGTGTTGCATTTGAGACATATGAAAACTATACGAAATAGAAGAGTCTAATTTTGACTTCAACAGGAATCCTAATGCATTGAGTATAGTCAAGTCCGCATATCATCAAATGATTCTTATAGAATTTTATATGAATGTGATAACGAACATTATTTAACAAAAATAAAAAAATTAGTACGATAGATTTCTTATGCAAAGAAATACAAAAACTTAATATTGTACGGATAGAGGAATATTTGAAATTTAGCAATAATTCAAAATGAATTTCTTCTTTATCTTCATGTGCGACACTATGTGTGCAAAATAAAAATAGTTCTCTTTAGTAGTGTTTTTTTTTTCAATTCCATCAATTGGAAAAGAAATTAATTCAAAAACTAAAGTTTATCAGTATAGAAATTATATTTCTTATAAAGAAAGATTCTCTTTTACCCATTCGATATTTTTATCAAATACAATATTCTGTTAACAAAAATTCTCGACAAACAATGTTTTTTTTATGGAATCTGACTCTTTATTGAATAATAAATTATATTCTCTAATTTTCAAGTTTTTTGAAGCAAAAAACAAATCATTGCATTGTTTTTACATTACACCAAAACGACTAAATAGGAAAATAAACAGATATTGTATTAAAATAGATATTTCAGAACTTCTAGAAGAAACCAAAAGTAAATTAAAAAAAACGACCATAGTCACGTTTCAAGTGTAGAAAAAAAAATCATTTCTTTTCCTGTATTGATTTTAATATGTGCAGTTTTCAGTTAATTCTTAGTTGGAAATGTCAATAATGGTAATGAATGAAGACAATTCAATTACTGATGAACGCTAAATTGTTAGCAAACTGATGTTGTAATAGATCTTCCATGTGAACCAAAATGATTGTAACATTCCGTATTTTACTCATATCTTTACACAAACAAATCATAATGTTTGAATTAATTCTCTTAAAATACGCGATGTTGGTTTCTCTACAGAACCAGTAGTTAGAGTACTGTTGAAGTTTGAAGACTTGTACAATAGTAAGATTTACGAGTAGATTATATTTAGAGTTGTTGATAGCCGCTAATGAATGTATATGTTTAAATCTCTAAACATAAAACCAAAATTTTTACTATTCTTCGTATACTATAGTATTAAGTTATCAAGCAAATATTTACTTAAACACTTTTAGAATATCATCTGAAATATCAGCAAGGTTTTTCAGTTCCATTTTTCTTTTGAAGAGAGAATTCAATGGCACGGCTTTTTAAAAAAATCAAATGTTTATTATTGGGAAGGGATGGGTGTGAATGTAGACATTGACTTCCTCGTACTGGCATTTACGCCCACTCTTTACTAGCATTTTATTTCTTGTTTGCTTTATTGCTATTCGCTCGTTATTTTTCTTAATCTAACATTATTATTATTCTAAGCATTGAAGGATGTGGGTGATTGTTCACCATTTATCAATAACAACTTTATGATAAATGTTTTCGAAGCGAATTTATCATTGAGAAACGAAAATATGAGAGAGTGAGTTGGATAAAAAGAAGACTTACATTTGCACTCTCATCCTAACACTTCCTTTCACTGTATTTACGATTTCGACAGCAAAAGTGACACAAACACATATTATCATTTGATATTTGCTCTTTTCTCTTTCATTCGCTTTTTTTCATTGAATAGACAAAAAGAACGTGGCAAAAATTCTCTCTTACTCTGTATTGTTGTTGCTCTACGTATAGAAATAGCATCATTTATTCAAGTACGGCATGTTGCCGTTGTACATTCTTCCTTTTTTTTTCTTTGCACGTAAACACGCATATTTTCATGTCGACTTATAAACTATACTATTTCGACGGTCGTAGTCGTGGCGAAGTCTCTTGTCTTATTTTGGCTGCTGCTAGACAAAAGTTTGAAGGTATAAGATATCCAGAGAATGAATGGCCATCGCACAAGTCAGAAATGTCTCTTGGTCAAATCCGAGTACTCGAAATCGATGATGTTAAATTACTACAATCAATGACTATTGCTCGTTTTCTTGCCCGTCAATTTCATTTGGCAGACAAAAATAATTTAGAACAAGTAAAAATTGAAGCTGTCGCTGATACAGCTACAGATCTTCTTAACAAAATTCGGACCAATTATTTGGTATTAAGAAGAATTTCAGAAAAAGGCAAGTGTAGAGACATTCTTCGCTAACGAATTACCAAAACATTTATGTAATCTCGAAACCTTGACCAAGGCCTACAGTGAGGGTGGTTCATTCTTCGTTGGCAACAGTTTGTCTTTGGCCGATTTGTACGTATACGATGTATTAGAAAATATTGTGAAAATCGATGCTAATATATTGGATCAATATCCATGGTTGAAAATCAATCGTCAAGAAGTTGCCAAACATCCTAACATTATTGCCTATCTTAAAAGTCGACCACGAATAGAATTCTGAATGAATCAGCTGGTTTCGAATAATGAACATCAATATTGACATCCTAAATTTTCTTTTTTAGAGGTGATTTTATATTTGGTAATGAAAAAAAGTAAAAACACTAGTTCAGTTATATCGAGTAATACAATAATTATAAATGGCATCATCGATCATTAATTAGTTTCGTGATAAAAGCACAATTCTATACACTAAAATAAGTGCTTCTCATGATTGATTATGTTCATCCTTTATTTAGTCTAAAATGATTCTAGGAAAAATTACTAGAATATCTTAGCGTTGGCCTCGAAAACTAATTGCTTGTGTTAACGACCAAAATCCACTCGACTTCAAAAAAACTCATAAAAAAGAACTCCTTTGTCCTTACACCTTTAAATGCTCGATACTTCTTCGAATAAAGAATTGGAGATTTCTTTTTCTATAGTTTAGTTTAGTAGAAAATTCCGTCTTGAGTGAAGATATGGATATGTTTGCATTATTCTTTCCTCTCACATCCACTCAAAATATCTATATTTTTTTAGAATTAATTGGTTTGTTTTGTTCAGATATTGAAAGATAGAAAAATGAAAGTTTTGAAAATATTTGAAAGAATTATCATTAATATTAATAAAAAATGATTTGTATGAAAGTATAAATGAATTGAGTTTTGAATATTAATTAAATTAAAGTGCAACGCTAAAGTCAGTAGTATTTAAATCTACAAATTATTATTCATTTCAAGATAAGAGAAGAATAAATATTTTGGAATAAATTTTGAATGGAGTATGACAGAGATCTGTAGTTGTCATCGTTTAAAAGAGAAGATAAAACTGCATCGAATCATGTATATCGCGCATTTTTTTGTTTTTTTGATAAGCTTTAGAAGATCAAGACAATTCTTTACTATCAAGTTTGATTGTCATTAGTAATGACAATAATTTAATTCATTCATAGTAAATTCATAACGTACTTTCCTTATTTTCGTTCAGAAAATATGAAAGAAATACTATGTTGATTATACATCAGGATCAAGAATTTCAAATATGTTCATTTATGATGCTCGGAATTGTTGGCTGAATCATTTTAATAAGTTGAATAGTTGAAATGTTGTAAACATATTGATACATACCTATTATTAATTATCTTGATTCTAATTACGACAGTTAATTAAATATTAAATGATAAACGTAAAATATTCAAATCTACCAAATCATTAGAAAAGGATCTTCCCGATAGTCTTCATATTGAGTCATCATTTATATCTCAATATTAAACTAATCGATCTATTAGTCAAATTAAATAGTTCAAATATAACCAAGCGGTTGATCAAAATGATCAAATAATGAAAACTATATCCTTTAGATGTACACTTGTCTTCAAGTGAGTTTCTTTCAACTTAGGTTAAAATCAATAGCAAATCAGTGTAGTGGGATGTAAGTGTGAGGTGTTGATCTTCTCTTTACTCATATCCATCCACATTCATATCCTACATCCACGCTCTCTCTTGGAACTCATGATGAAAAGTTTGGTTTGCACGAAATCTCTAAAGAACTATATAGATGTCTTCGAAGAAGTTTTGATTCTTGATTTTACTTGATACGGTCAGTTGAGAATTGTATTCAGAATTTAATTTACACAAGCCATAGAACGTATAGTAGGATCGTACCAATGATTTGATGTTTTATTCAGTTCTTATAAAAAAAGTTAGGCTTCAATACATAACAATAGATATAGAGCATTAAAATATGCAGATCTCAGAATAAGTTCATTAATTGTTCGACAACAGTCTTAATTATATTACTTCATTAATTTGCCCTTGGATAGTGGTTCGCTTGAGGTCTCCATATTGAACCGATCGACATACTCTTCGAATAGAGTTCGCACGGCTTTACCGATTCGCTTATAATCAACCTCGTTCAGATTAGCGAGAGACACGCGACCGGATGGATGTTGCACACCGAAGCTGCGACCAGGAAGCAGAACAACGTGTGCTTCACG